TATATATATATATAATAAGCGTACATAATAACTGTACATTAGCAAGCAAACAAACAAAATATTCATTCATTAAACAACATACCACCACCTACCTCATTGTGCTGCTGCTCAGTCAGCACTTCAATCATTTGTTGACTATGCTATCAAAACTGAGAATGACAAAAATTACAGGAGGATAGAGGGAATGATGAATGTGTGAGTCAAGCAACTACGAATACAAAATGAAACTCGAACGGACGGGTTAAAAGGAATTAACCGAAGAACGGAAAGAAGGATGCTAATACAAGGGCTACACGAAAACGAATGAATATTCAATTGGAGGCAACTGGAATGGAATGAATCCTCACAACAATGAATAATCTAACATGAATAAGCTTGTACAAAACAAAATATCTCATTGGTTCTAAACACTTTCATTGAGTCCCAAACAAACAAGCTACTGCTTCTCGAATAACTCTTATTATTAACAATAATGAGGATTATGATATCCACTATCTGAGAAAACCTTCTAAATGATGATCATCTTAATGAAACATCAGAAACATTATTATAATAAGTTGTGATATATAAAAGTATTTTTTAAAAGGCTGCGCAAGAAATTAGTTTCGAACCCAATAAAGAACAAAAAAACAACATATAGAACTGTCAACTAGAACGAGAGAGCAACGCATCTAGCAAAAAGCTCAATCCCACGCAAGCGAACGTTTCTGTAAGTATAAACTACTAGATTGCCTATCATCCATTTACCTATTTATGTAGTCAACCAGGTACAGTAAACTAACACAACAACAAACATGTAAGCAGCACCTCACGTCGTCCCATTTCATATCACTTCACCTTACCTCAGCTGCAACTGCAACTAGAACATTAACGGACCCAACGTTTCCAACAAAAAATAAACTTCATTCATTCACAAATGAACTAATTTGAGTTATTATTGAATAAATGAGAACGGCTGCTGGCAAATACAGTATCACAATCGGTATGTAGCGTGTGATTAAGAGTGACAACAGGAAGATCACATAAACGTAATTGCACATGAATAATACATATGCATGTAGATGGTGATTGTGTCTGGTTCTGATGGTGATTATGATGACTAAAAAATGAATTAAAGTTGAATTGTTATTGTTCGCATACAAACAAGGTCAGAGGTCAATGGCAGCAGCAATGAATTATTTGAATATGGGTACTGCGTGCTGGTGGAATGTCCATTTCAAAGTATTTGCAATTAAGGTATTCGTTCATTCGCATTGCACTCAAAATTTCCAGTTTATATCGAAAAAATTAATTCAGACACCGCAACAAGTATCGGTCAAGTGGATCGATTTAGACGGCGTTCCTTAGAAGATGAGCTCGGAGGAAGAAATCTGCATTGTCGAGAATGCTCTTGTCAGATCTGGAGACTGCAAAGTATCGAAATCTGGTACAGAAAGCAACAAATGGGCATACATTTTTGGCCTCTGCCTCTGACCCTCTACGTAAACATGTGCTCTCTGGGCTGCTTTAATGAGAGTGTGTGAGGTTTGTGGAGAAACAGTGGGAGAGGAAAGAAAGCAGATAGTGAGCTGTGCAACAGCTAACGCTTAAACGAATAAGAGACTTTCCGAAAATTGAGTTTTTGAAATTTTTCAGTTGCTGTAACTCCGTTTCAGTGGAGAATTACGCTACTAATATTTTGCTTATCTGCAACATCTTGTGAAGAACTATCAAAAAATACACTTTATGCCGCAAGCAAGGTTATATCCGCCTTCTGCAAATTTATATTTTCCCTATCGCTAATGCACTACTGCATAAATTTTGCAAGGAATTGACAGGTTCAATTGCAATGATTTTGATACCACTCTTCAGTGTTCGTTATGCACGACTGCTTTATCATTTTTTGCATCAAGCAAAACGATCTCAGAAGAACACAAAACACAAGCATTGAAATCCTCAAACGTAGAAGACTAACTGGGTGTTACCCTCATAATCACAAAGAAGACAAGTCGAATGGATGAAAATTTTCAGTGTAAAAGAAAAAAGTTTAATTTCAATAAAATGCAGCACTAGCAGAAAAACTAATAAAATTATGCAAGATTAACAGAACAATAGCAGTCAAATTACGGTATAATAACAACGCGATCTCGATGAGACGTTCACTTTGACTTCACGTGAACGCAAACAGAGAATAATCACTCGCATATAACTGCTGCTGCTTAGCTCCTTATTTTCTGAGTTATTTGTTTGTTTACTCGCTAAATCATCATCTCATACCTCTTTGAACTGAACTGTATCGGGGTGGGGAGGGGAAGGGTGAACATATATATATATATATATATATATATATATATGAATACATAGGTACACAGAAAATAAATGTAAAACATATACAATGAATAAATAGATGTATGTATGCGCAATAAATTTATACGTACATTGCTAAAGGGAATAAATATGCATTGAGGGCAGAAAGGGGAAACAATGAATATCGGGCGTTAACGGAGATGGATGACGGTAGATTGCTTGGCAGAAATGCTTTCAGGCACAAAATCAACATCGATTGAAACACGCACGGTAAGCAGTAAACTTATGTATATAAATATACAAATAACTGCAAATGTTGAACGGTTGATCTCGTCACATTGAAACTCATAATGGAACGGTCATATAATGAATGCAATAACCGCTAATGAAGCAAGAATTATCACGAATGAATTTATCACAAAACTACTATCAACAATACACAACTGCTCTACCCATCTTGAAACAGATAAACTTACGACAAAAGATGACAGTATTAGGCGACAATATTTTTCTGCACCAAATGCAACTGCTTTATTGCAACAATCTATGGATCAAGGTCAAGTGATGTGGAGAACGAAGAAAGATCGGGGACAAAATTTGCAGTCGAGCAACCTGAAATGCGGTCACCTTGAAAAATGTCGGAGACGGAATTCTCGAATTCCCCGTTCCTCACAAGACACTAGATCAAGGGCTTATAGCTTGTTTGAAGTAATATCGTCGAAAATGTCTGCGTGAAGCAATGCCACTAACTGATACAAAGGTGAATCGTTCCGAGAATTTTCATAAAACGTAAACGTTATGTTGGCTATTCAATGGATTGATAGATTATAGGATAGTTTGCGTAGCATTATTTGACTTAACGAAAAGAAAAAGATCTTGCAAACGAATGGAATTAAACAAGGCGAAGAGAAACTGTATCGTAAAAATATGCTTTATGTTCGCAAATATAAAAATTCGGTGAATGAAAGTGAAAGGGTGACAGCTAATCGTAAGGAATTAATTGTAAATTCAGTTGTGCTAAACAATTTGAATGCTTAAGTTCAGATAGCGATGAATGAGATGGTGAAAACGAAACAAAACCTACGGTATATTCGTCAACCAAATCAAAAATGTTTCGCATGGTACCGTCAACAAAATGAATTTACTGGAAGTGCTTCGCTTAGTTTTCTTTCTATGACGGAACTTGCTGCAAACAAAAACGTCTGATAAGATTAACGCAAGAGATAATTTTCTCTTATAAACTACTTTACACTTGAATGATTGGTTTGTTGAGGAAAGCGATTGGTAGAGACTTTATGAAAATCGAGTCATTGTCCAGCAGCCCCTGCAACGTGTTATGGCATAAGGCTGAAACTCTATTTAACAAATTAATGGACCCAAAAACCAAAAAAGTTGAATACGAAAGCATTTCGATGATCACCGAAAAGGTATTCGACGGGTAGCCATTGAAAGAATCTATCATTTTCCAACTCTACTGAGTAGTTTTTATGCGATAAGTGACGCCGTTTCTTATTCTTTTCCTTAATAGCACTGTTATCATCAAGTTCCATGAGGAATAATCGTGAGACAGACATTAAAAAAGAAGGTGTTTTTTGAATGTAGAATTTGTTTCATTTTATCAACCAAAATTAATCATCGTTAGCAACTCATTACGTCGATTCCTCGCAAAATATTTCAAACGATATTGTGCAATTGGCTTTCTTCTGGAAAATCCATCGCTGTTCACAGGTATTCCCTCGCCCTCTACCTTGAAAAGCTTCCTCCGCCTAAGAGAAACGCTTTACCCTAAAAAAATATCACATTCAAACACCCCCACTTGCAGAGAATCTCCAAGTTTTCAATTCTGCCCTGCAATAATATCCATGAGAATTTGAAATGAATTCTTTCATCACCCAAAAAAATGAAAAGCTGTTCAATGCTCGAAATAGAACTTTCAAACGAAAACGAATTTTAGTTCGCAACTATATCGCCTTTGAACGTGGTACGAACGATTGCAATAACTAGTGACGTGATTGGCTTTATTCTCCGGTAATCTGCTAGAGCTGAAGCGGAACTGAGTTACACAGACGATACGAGAACAGAGTTTCGTGAAGGGGGTAGCGTGTTGGGAAAGTGTTCCGAGATCTATTCGGCTCTCTTTTCCATTTGTAAATTCCTTTTCTTGTTGAGAACGACAGTCGCTTGTGATCAGGAAATCACACTATTAAACTTATCTAGGAATCATACTTGTCATATTATTTATCTTAATCATACTTTATCTGTTTTACTTCATTTTGTTTCATACTTGCCCAACCATCGACAGCGTATTTGTCGAGTATTACCGAAGCTCCTCACTCGAAGTATACCATGAGTTTCTGATCGACGGATCCATCCGTCGGTATTTTTGCACTGTAGTGGATCCCACCCCATGCGCCCATCGGAAGAGAGAAAAGGGATAACCTCAGCATAGCCCTAAGCGTTGCCGTTAAGGGGTTACCGTGGGGTGGGGTCCACTACATTGCAAAAGTGCCCATCCGTCTATTATCCCATACCGCATATTTAAAAACGATGTCATTTCATTCCCTCTTTTTGAAGGGGCAAAAGAACCACGTTATCCAGCGAAACAAATCCGAAGAAGGTAGAAGATATAAATGGCGGCGACTGGTAGTAAACGTGTCATGAAGACTGCCGTTAACTGGAAGGAACTGACGGATAAGCTAACACCAAAGCATGCGACCGAAATTTCTGCGGTCAAGGTCAGTCAGTCTCTCTTCCAACATTTTCTCTCTTTGATGGTTCAAAATATTTGAATTTTGTGGTGAAGGAATCGCAAAGTAGGATCAATTCGTTCAAGTTGCATGTCACTTCCGTTCAAATTGCACTTTTTAGGGTCAGTACGGTCATTTCTTCGGAATGGTCGTCGTAAAACCAGCCGATTTGCCCAAGTACGATTTTGCCGCATTGAAGAAGCAAATGCCCGCACATGCATCCACTCTAGATTCACTTCAAAAGCAGTACGAATCACTTAAAATTCCGTACGGCACAATTCCAGCTGCTTACCAAAAGGTTATTACTATCATTATTTCATCCGTGTGCACTGCTTCGCCAAGCAATCAGTCATTCAACTTCACAACATTTTCGTGAAACTGACAAAGAATGAAAGCAAGTTAAAAATTAGACATCGTAAAATGATTCCAATGTTGTAGGAGATCGATGAATGGATTGAGTACAATAACGAACGTATTAAGCTACACGAAATGAAAGCAGCCGATGGCGCTGTTGAAGCTAAAAAGGTTTTTTACCCATTTGCTTCTTTCGCTTCTCGCTCTACTTCCCTCACTTTCTCGTACTGTTATTTCCCAACAACAAACAACGGATCTCCATACCAAGAATCACCGTTCCAAACCATTCTTCAACAAACTGACCAAAGTCGTGCGCGATACGCGGACGAATCCAATCACAAAAGCATTGTGATAAAGAATACGCGAGTAGGAGTATTCAGTGTCACGCGGTGTAGCATTAAATGAGAGACCATAACGAGAATGAAAAAAGAGAAATAAACAGCAATGTTACTTGACAACGAAAGGACGAGAATCAACTGGAATGAACAGGAAGGCAGTCAGCCACTCACTGACACGACAATCCGTAATAATGATGATGCGTAATTGAGTTTATAGATGCTGATGTTTCTAGTTAGGGACATAGGTCGTATACGTATGATCCATGTAAAGTAGAACAGTTTCACGCGTAATTTTTTTTTTACCTCATCGACGCGATTCATATGCCGGAAATGAGAACTGATCTTTGAGCGAAAAATAATATTACTGTTTTTGATTACTGCTAAAAAATAATATTACTGTTTAAAATAATATTACTGATTATTATTAATAATCGAGATCAAATCAAAAAAAAACGATAGTGATTCGTATAGATTATTATTGTAATGACAAAATGAAAGCAATTACGAATATGGGTAAACAATTGGAACACTGCTAGAATCAAGGAAATGTGGAACAGTTTTTTTTGCGCAAAAAGAAAGCTTCAGACTAGAAAGAGAAAGCAAGAGCGTTAAAAAAGGTACGAGTCAATAAATGAAAGCAAATTCCGAAACGTAAAGGAATCACTCATTTTTATTCGTTAGTATGGTTGAGTTTGATCTGATGGCCCGTAGTTGGGTATGTCTCTTCGAAAAGATTCGTCGATTGGAGTAGACCTGATTATGTGAAAGCCGGCAGTATTTCGGCGTTTTCATTTGTCGGGATCGGATCCAAATTGATTGGTAGATCAGAAGAATTGCCTGAAGTTAAATTAGTTTACCTGTAGTAATGATATGATGGATTATTGATGATGAAGATATTTACAATCAGTAAACGTCGTATGCTGTATTCCAGCTTCATTTGCTTGAGTTCAGCCTGCGACTAACTCTTAAGTCTGCGCTAACTAGACTTGGGCTCAGGTGTACATGCTTGCGAGGAAGTCAAATACACACCGTGTGCACAGCCATTTACAGTTTACAAAAGATATTCCATAATATTACATTCTAGTTGTATTCACCTGTCCATCTTTTCACATACGCATCCATTCAAGTTTATTTCAGGTGGAAGAGAAATGGGCCGCAGCACCACCAGTTGAGCACTTTAGTCGTGAGCATTTTGTTGAGTATTTCCCACAACAATTCTACGATTTACGCTATCAAGAACGAGTGCCGGACCCGTGCGAGATCGGTCTGAACGATACGGACATTATCCAACAACGTTTCAAAGACTATAAAGTGTTGCGAAGACCGACCAAAGAAGAAGGTCATTAGAGATTATAACAGTTAGACATTAGATATTAAAAGAAAAGAATGGTTATTGTTTTAAGAGTATTCATTGCCATTATAAATATCATTTTTTGTGAATTGATCAATGTTATATTCATTAATTGTAGTTGTGCATAACTGAATAAATACTAAATGCGCAAATAGCTAACGGATGTCATTGGGTGTCACTTCGGATACCTACATATCTGATGTCGAAATGATTAAACCGAATCACTGAAATCGAAGTAAGTATAAGCAAAAAAGCGAGGAGCTTATGTACCATAATATAGCAGATAGGACAGCGTACTAACAAAAACAAACTCGAAGTGTTAAAACATAGCTGAAACCATTTAGCTATGGAACCTGGATGAAGTTGCTCCATAAAAATAATAGTATAGTTATATTGCGCACACACTAAATGAACATATTTAAAAAAAACATCTTTGAAAAATCAAATTTATTCCTCCTGATGTGCATAACCGAATAGTTAAAGTCATTCAGGACAACAGTTAAAAATTCTCATTAAAACGCTTCATCATTCACCAGTATACGCTACCGCATCCACTCCAGTCATAAGTCATGTAAAATACTTGCATTCCGAAACGTAAATCTCCAGTAACCAACAACAACAATAATAAAATCAGTAATAATAATACTGACCTCTCTCCACGATATTAAGTGATCAAATGCGATCATCGTTCAAAAGAACAAACAAAAGAAGACTGAATACACCTCTAAAACGAAATCAATGTCAAATAAAACAACAATAACAGAAAAACATTAAATCAGTAACGAGTATCATCACACTAACATTTTTCTTCCTAAAGAAACAATTTTAAAAATATCTTTAAATAACGCTAACCACAACAATAATACAAATTGCACTGAGAAAAATAGCAACAAAATTACTTTTTAAATTCCAAATATCCAAATTGCAATTCTTTTCTTCCACAAAAAACTTTTTCCTTTTGAAAACTCAACATTAACGAACTTACAACCCGCACGCACCGTACACAAGTGAAAATATAAAGTGTAGTCAGATATTATTAAATCATTAGTAATTGTAACACCACGATACGGTTTATAAAACAGTAACTATATTCATAAATGTAATCATGCAGGCCAGTGCGCTCGCTTCTCACATACTCCTCCAGAATTTCCACACGGAATTGGCGACAGTGTTCCGTCTTGCGAGATCCTTCACCAATATGACCTCTCTTGTTTTCGAAACTACCTCGCCTAGTTACCGGTGTTCCTCCCATTGACTTCTAATCATTAAAATGAGAAGGGTAAGAAGTTAGAAGTGCACAAGAGAACTCCACAGCAACTAGGCAGACGAACCTGGGACACGATGGGGATCAAGTTGGTGAGGATTGAAGGGTAAACCGTGAAATGGAGCCTCGCTGCGGATTTTGCAGGGAAAACCCGGAAATCTGCCACGTTCGTAATCGTACTTGTGAGTGATAAATCAGAAAAAATTGATCTAATGGTCAACAAATTTGCTCCCAACATTTTTTTAGTGGTACGTACCAAACGAACCACTTTCTCATAGCAAAAAAATTATTTCAGAAATACTATCGCATATTTGTGAGAAGGAAATCGCTCAAAAGTAATTCCCCCTCCCTTCCTGCCCCCCCCCCTCCCCCTCTGACATGCTCAAATCTTTCCTCCTTAAATTGTCAAATACCTTCCCTTTAACCTTATGAGAAGCACTGCGATATACATTCCAGTAATGCAAAAATAATAACAGCAAAATGAAAACATTAATAATAACAAATGAGATTCAACAGTATATGTTCACCGTTACACTGACCAACCGTATAACCACAGTAATCCTCATACCATTAATTGACACATAATGCGTAGTGATAATAGCCATAATCATACTAATAGTAACAGTAATCATAAAGAGAACAATATAATAATGATAATGACAACTGTAATACGCATAATAATAATAATAATAATAATATTAAAATATAATAATAACGAATATAATATTATAATAATAAAGATAGGAATAGAAACTACTCCTCAGAAACACTCATTGAGTATTGAATTCTCAACGGATGCTCGCGTTCATCATTCATTTTACCCTTTTTCTTCCCATCCTGACGTCGAATGTCATTTTTCATTTCTTCTGTCACCTGTTTGATCCTGTCGCTGCTCAATCTGAACGTTAAATTTCATTATTATTGTTTCACTATAAACAATAATAAAAACTCGCCTGAAATAGACCAGCTTGCCATTGAAGGTTCCAGATGCAGGAATAAGACCGCCCTTTGAAAAGTGTACTTCATCAATGAGTGCGCAACGTTGTACTGTGTACGGCCATTTGGCTGCACTACCAACAGTTGGATAGGCCTGAACGACGACAACAACAATTACTATTTCGTTTATAGAATCTTCAATACTATTTCGAATAAGACAAATAGATTTATGAACAATTGCAACAGCTGACAGTCAACTTTAAATAAATCAACAATCAGAAATCAACCAGAACAAACGATAAAAACAAAAAAGCACTCACAGTCGACAACTCAATATCTTCCAACTTCACGTGAAACTGTCTTGAGATTGCTCCCTTCAATGCCCGTATCTGATCTTGTGCTGCTGCTGAGACGATTACCTCAACGCGTTCACCTACACTCAATTCTGTCGGATTCCAACGGCATACTGTCACTGGATAGGCACCAATACCGACTCTTTCATATGCTAACGCCTCATCAACTAAATTATTTAAATTTGTGATAATACATACGATCCATAATTATTTCAAAAAAAGTATCATGTACACAAAAAAAACTTTTTAACACCACCTTCAAGAACTTGCAAATACAGCGTTTCATTCCAGTTTTTTCCACGTCTCCCAAGACGATCTCCAGAACTCAGAATCGGGAGACCCACTCCATTTATCATTTCCCGTAGACGCAAACTGAATTTCCATAATGATAATAACAACAGTTATAATAATAGCAATAATAATAATAATAAATGTAATAATGATTTGAAATCACCGTCCAGTTCCATGGTTCCTTCCATAAACCATTCCAAGCTTTTCATCACACATCTTTAACACCTCGCCAATCGACATATCTACCGTACCAGTCACGTCAAACAGGAACAGCCACTCGTCCGGCTTAAGGTTTAAAAATATTATCAAAATACATAATAGTGTGGATGAATTGAATGACGAGTGCATTCGGGCTGACCACCTGGAAAGTTCTCAGTGCTCATTATCAGTCGTTTTTTTTTCAGTGCTCATTGTCAGTCGTTTTTTTTTTCAGTGCTCATTGTCAGTCGTCGTTTTCTTCCCTATGCAGTCTTGTCACATCATGCAACCTGTTCACGAATACCCTTCTCTGATTTGAATTTCTTCATCGTTTGTCTGTACTTCTTACAAGTTCAATGAGGCCTTTAGATATGGAAGCAACTGACATCGTTGTTTCTACTCATCCAAATGACTTCTTCGTAAAGCCACTGTTTTGGAATGTGACTGCTGTATGACAAAACAAACTGAGTGGAAACGATTTATTCTTCAATACTAGTCATTTTGTATCTTCCGATATCTTCGGGTTTATCACCACCCCATCTCACCACTTGATGTTCGTGATTCTAAATGAGCACTGCAGATGGAAATGATCCAGCTTGTAGATGTCATTCTAATGTTTGGTCCTAGTTTCAAAACTGTACAAAAGTGCTCTTAAAACGATACACTTCGATATACAACTATTTGATGGCCAGTTTCACTTCATGTTTGCGCCAGATGCATTTTTCTAACTAGCCGTTTCTCGTATAGCTGTTGAGCGTTGAATAATGTATGTGTAGTACCACGAGCAGCGCAAAAATCACAACCCATAATTCATCAAAAATTTTCAAAAAAAAAGAAAAGAAAACAAACGAAACAAAAGCAAAGCACCTCTTCCGCATTCAGTGCGTAGTTGACCACAGGAACTAGTCTTTGATCCTTCTTAAGTGGCTCCCTTAATTTCACGGATAGCTGAAAAAAATTCGTTCTTTGTTCCCCTTCTTCAGTCTCCAAAATAAAAATAATAACAACAGCAAACAATGATAATAAATAATACTAAAAAAACCAACTCACATACAGAACAGATGAATACGCTTCATGAAGTGTCTCATTGCAGTTCCATATTGCACTCTCATAACCTGACTCCCCTTGACGATAATGTTTCAATATCGCGAATTGATTAACGTCAATGACAAGTTGATCAGCTATCCAACTGCGTAAATTATAAACTGTCTGACGATCATCAGCCAGTATTGTTAATTCTCAATTGTTATGCATACATTATTTATCTATTAATGTTGTTCCGTCATTCAGCTTCCAGCTAACTTCTCCCCTAACTCGAGCGCAACCCAAAAATTCCCTTCTCTAGAACTGCTAAGACTCCACCAAACGGCTGCATTTTTCTGAGATTTTAGCTGTTTCGCGTCCGTTCCGTTCCTCTCATGTAATTAAACGAACTCGAAACCGGATACTGTATCCAAACAATTTTATCAAGTTTTTTACATAAATCGAATTACCTATACAAATCACTAAACAAGACAACTGAACAAAATACTCACCAAGATCTTTCTCTCCTATCCGTCAAAACAATCAGACAACGAACACAACAAAACATACCTCCATCCGGAGTGGTGTTCAAAGCTGAGAATGCAATGTTTTTTGGTAACGATAATGTAATTTGCTCTTCGTCTCTATCCAAATATCCATCCACATCGCTATCATCCAAATCAAAATCATCCTCATCTCCTTCATCTTTATAAACGTTGATATTAAATTGTGAACCAACACCACGACGATAATCAGTATCATCATCACTAATATTAGTATCTTTTTTCATCTTCGTCTTGCAATCACCAACATCATTACTGTTGTTACTGTATAACTTTTTACTCGACCCATCATTACTTCCGTTCTCCGCGCCGTTGTTTTCCTTAATAAAACCTTCATTAAGCATACTCTCCTGCTCATAATCTTTGCTATAACATCAACTAAATTAGTGAAACAATATAACAACAACAATAATAATAAGTCAATATACCTGCTCATTTTGAATGAAGCCACCAGTTGACTGTGTTGATGGAATCGGTGTAACAGAACGACTTCTGGCCACGATCGACTCAGGTGGTGGACCGTTCATAGTGATATGCTTGTAGTCGTCTAATTTTTTTAAATAATTCGATTCAATTGAAATCAAGGTCAAATCAAATCAAATTTCTTTTCTATCCGATTTATTTTCAACTTTAAAAGCTTTTCAAGATCTGAGACTACTTTTCAATGGCACAGAGCATCGGAACATTCAAACAACCTAACAGGAAAGAGTACAACCACTCTTTAAGGAAATCGCTACTTTTACCGCTCATATTATCGCTGTTATTACTACTATTGCTATTGTTATCACCACAATTATTGGTACTATAGTTATTGTGATTATCTTAACAAAATTCGAACAATTTGTTAAAACTCACCACATTCTGGTAATATGATCTTCAACTTGATTGTACGCTTCTGACGCTCCAACATTTCACACATCAACGATTCGCTGAACGACTTACAACGATCTGCGTTTCTAATCGCTCCTCTGCTTCCTTGTGAACCGTAATCGTAAGCGCAATCAACGAATAACTGCAATTACCTTTATTATATCATTATCATTACCAGCATTATTGTTGCAAAAAAAAATTCATCGAACTATCCCTACTGCTACTAATACCTTCATCGCGATTGTAGACCTATCACCAACGACGTCTCTTGCTTGTAACCCATCGATGTTGAAGAGAAACATTGTTGGAGGTGATACAATCCCTTTATCTAATACCAAACGCAATGCAGCCGCCGACTCTTCAGACTCTTCGTACAGCTGAAATTTGACAGTGATAATATTCAACAAACAACAATTAAACAACAACAACAACAAAACAATAATACCGCAGCAATTTTCGTCTTCATTTGTGCCACTGTTTCAGAGTCAGCGAACTGCACCAAACGTGCACGTCCATAAGTACCATTTTGTACGTCCAGCGGAACGACATTCAGAGTGAAAGCGCCACTGAGACCGTCGTCACTCGTTTTGGTAATTCCATAAAACTTCTTCATTGCACTCGGTTTACAATCCAATACCAAATACACATCAGCACCACGACGAGTGTTTGACTTGCTCCCTGAACGGTGCTGTCCTCTCGTGCTTATAGCGCAATTCGCTGCCGTCTCTTTTGTGCATGACGGGAATGCATCCGCAATACTCATCTCAACATACAATTCATTCAATATTAACTTTAGCAATAATAATTATTATCATCATCAAATATTATCAATAACGAATATAACAATAACCGCAACAAAACCAATACTCGATAAAACAATATTAAAGAGAATCAAAGACTTACCTCCAAAAGTTGTTCCTTGCTGAACTCATCCACAATATTGAATAAGCAACTGTTACATTTCAACAGTCTGAAGTCTTCTTCAATCGAACGGTCGTCACACCTACGTTCAATGAAACGACGTATTGCACGAATGTATATCTCGTAAAGTTTGACCGTGTATGAAACACGCAGATGATACTTTGCACCACTGGCACAACCAACTCGTCGATGCCACCAACCTCCCACCGAACCACTACCATCACTACTATTGTACATTACGCTCACCTGAATTGTTTTTCACTTTATTATTTTTGATAACAATTTCCGATACTAAAAAAATACAAAAACGAACATTCACAAGAGTTGCTTCATAGCGCCATTCCTCCAACTTTTCCACCTCTTCCTGATGCCAACGTTTCAACTGCATTTTCAAATCATTTGGCATATCCACTGTTTTCATGAATTTCTCATTCCTTTGACGGTCGACCTAACAACAATAATACTAGTTAGAAGAACTATAAAAAAAGACATGACGATACTGATAACAACAAATAACACTAATAGAAAATAACCTTTCTATACATGAGCATATAAGCATTTGTATGACTGGATGACCAACCCCCTTTCATACCACCCCAAGTTTGATGAATTTGCTCAAGTGTGGCTCGTGTTACGTGACTATCGTTGAAACAGAACCACTCTTTTTGGTCCATATTCCTTCAAGTAATAATAATAACATCAACTTGTTAACAAAATTTGTTCGGAAATTTTACCGAGGACAGGGCCTCATGTCTCTTCAACATGTTCTGGGTAAATGTTCGATAAGCGTTCGACGGGGAACAACTTTTTGGCCGAAGGTACCTCGCCGGGGAATCGAGTGACCGGGAGGGAGGGTAGCCGACGAGAAGACCAAGACGAATTCATCTGACGGAAGGTCACAATGAAGAAGTTGGAGAATAACCGTGTCGGGAAGGACGAGGACAAGTTAAATGGAATTTTGAAGGAAATTTCTCCTCTCCATTTGTACTTCCGAAAGGAAAACGAAAATGTAGTTTAGTGATAATGCATTCTAAACTACGGCTTTTAATAAACATGGAGAGAACGGCAACATCTAGACAGAGCATACGGTTCGGGGAATTACTGTTTCACTTTTGCAGCATATGCAAATAAACCATTGTTCCGGATCCTCATTAGCGCTTCAGTTAGCACCGCAATCGCGCGCTAGGGTCGAAACACCCTGTTCCTACGTTGTTTCAATGCATTTTCAAAATCTGCGGAATGTAAAACCCTTACAAATCTACTTCTCTGATATGAAATTTGATTGCAGTGAATGTAAACTGCCTTCACAAACACTTTTCTGCACTAATCCGCCATTTGCACAACACACCTAATTTCATTTCTGCATAAGTCCGGTGAATTTCGGTCCGCATGGACTGAACGTATCGAATTCTCTACGATGCCCTGAGAATGAAGCATTGAATACGTTTGCGAAAGGATACAGAACATGCAAGTGGCGTATAGGAGGTACATAAAAAGGAGAAAAAACAACCGCTTATTTCGGATAATAAGTAGTTCAAGTGGATACGAGCAGCAATTTAAATAACTCGTACGGATGTGCGGGTGCGTTTTTTGCTCGTCATACGCCTAATCTTAATTACAAGTCTGAGTGTAGACGTGAGCCCAAGCCTGAATATGAATTGCAGTTTGAGGCTAACAGATCGGGTGGAAATACATCGGTGTGTACTGTTGCGCCCATACGAACCCCACAGACCACCGGAGAAAGCATCATTTTGGCCTCAGGAGGAAATATTCAAAATTTCCATTGTACAGAAATGTTTCATGCAAAGGTTTACAATTGTTGGGGAATTCCCGGAGGAATCTCGTCCTTCGCATCGAGAATTGAATTGGACAGGAGGGGACGTCGACAAAAAAGCCGTGCAGCAAAGCGACCGGATGAAAGAAGGGATGGATCTCTGCGGGAAGGAATTCATCCGAGGGAACGCCGAGCGACAAGTCGAGGAGCAGAACTGTTTGGGAATTGCTCTCCGTTAGAGATGCCATTCCTCGACAAACAACCGTACTTAAGAAGATGCCTGCAAATCATCTGACAATAATACTTGTAATAATGAACCCACTTCACATAAGCGAAATAATGCCCGTTTGATATTGTTCCCTGATGAACAAGCACCGAAAACAACTCATAAACATATGGTCCATCCTTTTTTAATAATTCATTTACTTCATCCTCATCAATACGCATAGATTGCTCCTCTGCACGTTGCACTGAAAACAGTAACGAAATTAATATATGACTTGGACAAATAATAATAGTAATCATCAATGATAATAATCAAAATGAGTAATGTCATTTTTTACCGTAATCTATCTTCGTCGGAGATGCTGCTGCATCACTGCTGCTTTCAGCCCTCCTCAAACAAAATATTTATCACACCTAATGAGTACATAATAAAAACTGAATAAATATTCATTGCAACAATAAAAAAAAACAAAAACGATTTTAAAATCTACTTCGTCGATTTGACGGCATTTGCCCAACTCATCTTTTTCGCTGGTTCACTTTGTATTGTTGTTGAATGCATAAACTCGTTCAAGTTTAATAACATTGGGAATGTTATCCTTAATGACAACAATTATTACACATATATGTTAATTTTTAAAAATAATAATAGTAATGCGAAATGACGAACTTGTTGTTGAGCTTAACACGTTGAGACAAAAACAGATTGAAATCGAAACGTTTCAACTGTATTGATAGCAAATATGGAAATTCTTTGAAGCGTAATCCCTGAAATCAACGCTAATGACAATAGTAATAATAACAATAGCAATAATAATTATAATGATAATGATAACAATAATAATAATAACAATAACAATAATAACAATAATGATAACAATAATAATAATAATAATAAGATAATAATAATGAAAATACTAAAACAACAACAAACCTTCAAAGCATTTTGTTTCGATTGGCAGTTATCACAAAAATACTGATTAGCACCATCCAATAACTCTGGTTTGACAAAGGCATGAAGAGCTTCTTCAATACTCTCGAAAGGTGTGCCCGTAGCACAATGCTTTGTAGCTAATGGTAAATCAAGAAACGGTACAAATTTGACGTTTTGACGTTTGCAGTTGAGACACTGCACGTAATCCAACATTGTTCCTCGATAGAGATTCTGAACGAGCTCTGCATTTGGTGTATTACGCCACTTCTGCTCGAGTGCGTCAAACATCAAGCGACACAGCTCTTGTATATCATGTTGTTCAAGTGCTGCAAAATACTCACCGTCTGTGATAATAAATAAGAACAATAACAATAAATGACCAAAAATATCACCTTCGTTATTCTTCCATCCGAACGAATTCGTTATATCTGTTGTTTGCAGTGATTTTTCACCGGTCGTTTGCAAGAGCGCGAAAATTTTCTTGAGTTGACACGCTATGCTGCGCATTTCCTCGTCTTTTGTTCCATTGAACATCATTCTGAATTAGATACTGTATGATATGCAATAACAATGATAATAACAATAATACTAATAGTAATACGAACAACATTAAAAATCAACACTCACTTAAAAATTGCGTTCCTAAATTCAGGTGTCATAAACAGTGTTTGGATCAATGAGTTTAGATAGCACGTGTTTGCCTGATTCTGAAGACCAACGTAAGCATGTGAGTTGTCATCCAACGCAGCCGCCGAGTCAAGCTGATTCGATGTTCCGGCCTGGCTCTGAGCCTCAGCCTCGGCGGGAGTCGGAGTTCCCTGCTGACCTTGTGTCCCACCTTCATCCTCCCTCTTTTTTAACCCAACCGAACCTTTGAAGCCTTTCGGTTCTCTTTCATCTATTTTCCAACAATTCCTTCTCGAATGATCGACACTTTCGGATCCAACTGTTGCATTATCCTTACAACCAGCTGCTACTATTGATGAAGTAGCCACCACTGATGGCGTTTCTCTTTTCCACGGATTACCTCTATCATGAGCGGTATTAATATTTGCATTATCATTAGCGCCACTGTTATTTTTGTTAATTCCCGATACACCTTTTCTTCTTCCCGACCAATCAGTTGATGGTGATGATGTCGATGAAAAGCTGCTCGTACGAACTTCAGTGATTCCATCAGCGAACTTCTTCTTCGTGCAGTCCGTCGTAGCCGAAGAACGATATAAACGAGTCTTGGCCGAGACATCAAACGACGAAGATGGAGTTATTGAAACTGAAGCTTGGGTTCGCGCCGGAGGTGGGCCTGAGGCTCGTACCGGAGCTGGAATACTGTTGCTAGCATTCAAGTTAACACCAAAACCAACGCTGCCGTCAGCACCATTAGTTGAAAGCGATGAAGAGGTATTTTTCAAAAGTGACGCTGCATTCTTTACAGGGGGAAGATTCTTTGCCGGACAGGTAGTAGTGTCGTTTGGATGCTTTGAGTTACGTTGGCGATGTGTCGTATTCCCTGCTGAAGATAACTGCTGCTGGTATTGTTGCTTAGGCGTTTTATGAGGTAACGACGTCTTTCTGCTTGATTCCATTTGATTTTGTCAATTATTATTATTGTTACTCTGAATCGATTCGATTCCACCAGTACTAAATCAAGTCAACTACTAAATCAGTTGTATTATTATTCAAAAAGTTTGGTAGTAGTAGTTATAGTATCAGTAGTAGTATCAACAGTAATAGTAGTAATAGCAATAAAGTCTGTATCTGCCTGCTTGCTTGCCAACACCGTCAAAAATCCACCTGAAATGAATAGATAAATAAACAAATTTTCGCAGCAAACAAACAAACAAAAACTTTCGAAACCAACATTCCAAATATATTCGCTCATTGATTTATCGTTTCTTAAACTAACTTAATGTTTCTACAATATCAAGAAATCAACATTTCTTAAACTGTTGCGCTTCGTAACCGAATATGGGAGATATGGCATACCGTTATTCCCACCACCAACAATGCAATAAACTGTCACCATTTCTCACTTCAACAATCCACTAGACTGCAACTTCCTTTGTCCTCTAATAATCCATTACACTTCTTAACGATAAATCATGAAATCGATGCATTTTTGCAAAAGAAACATGCGTCAACAATTCGTCGATTATTTCGAATAGCATCAATAATTCTCTCTCATCAAACAAGCATTTTGAGAATATTATTGGATGGTTGTGAAAGAATTACGACGAGAAAAAACCTATCTACAATGACTTGCCTACCTTCTCAGTTATTCTCTGAAATTCTCAAACTGCCCCCCCCCCCTCCACCCCTCTATGAGCACTGTTAAATCGTACCGAAATAGACAAGAGTATAGGCGCTTCTTATGACCATCTACGGATTCCCTAATTGTTTTCTGAATTTTCTTTGAGCCTGAACACATAGAAAATGTAGGCAAGTGAGATTTTCTATGTTGCAATGAAACAATCTCTCTTCTTCCTCAACAAAACAATAAATCCGAAAAACGCTTGCTACGAGTCAATAGAAATAATGTTATGCACAAGTAAACATCACCACTAACTAGTTATTAAACAAAAAACAAGCTTGAGGATGGACCAAAAATTACTCACACAACTTATGCCACATCATATATAATAATAACAAATAACAGCTTAGAATAATAATTATAATAAATAACAATATAACAAAATAATGCTTTCATCTCACGTCATTGCTCTCCACTCTACTGCTCATTCAGTTGCTAAACTAAACACCCAACACTATATCAAACCACTCAAAATAACTAATATTTCAAAACTCTTCATAAAAAGTAAAACTAAAAGTTTTTTTGCCATAGCCCTATAGTCAACTAAAGACACTTTTAAACGCTAATAATACCAATAATAAGTA